ATAATAATAATAATAATACTGCACAGTCACGCCACAGCTATGGCGTGCAGAAAGGCGGGATTATTTGAATTTGTGTGGGATTGTTTATTGTAGAGAGAGAGAGAGTTTCCCGCTCCGACGATTGGCGCTTTGGTAGATTTGTTTTGACTTCTGGTCGCTGGGAGCGCGACCGAGGCGGCAGGACCGCCACAAGAAACGACAGTCAACCGACATCTAGCGGAATATCTCCAAACTAACCGGTTCATGACGTCATCGCCACATGACATCTCTACCCCACCTCAGAATCATAATTCTACCTTATTACTACAACTTATCACTTATCAGGTACAAAGTATAAAATATAAGTTACAAGTATGTTATCGATAATTAAAAATTCCTCGCCTAAGTTAGTCCACTGAAATATGACACATTTTAATCTGTGAGCACGATGCATTCCTGGATCCCACCGGACCCGACTTTTCACTGAGCGATGGCCAAGCTGGTGAAGATCTCCGCCGAGCAGCTTAACAACAACACCAACAGTCCAGCCCTCTCCTGCGAGTATTGTCCTAACCTCGTTTTTAAAAAAACTGCTGATTTTGTCAAGTGAGTTTTTTTTTTGTTTATTTTTATTATTATTATTATTAATATTAATGTTATTATTTATTTATTTATATACTAATATAAAATTTGTCAGGTGCACCGAAGCGGGTTTCTTCGCCAGATAATTAATTATCAAGGTTGTACTCCGATTTGCAGAGTGATCCATAATTAAATATTCTATTGCTTATCTAAACTTTTTTTTTTTTATATAAAATAAAGATCAGAAAACTTTGTCTATACTGACAAGGATATGTGCAAAAAATAATACTAAAATTACAAGACATCTGGCTATTTTTTTGATAATGAAAGTGACACCTGACATTTTTTTTAATGACATTAAAGTTAGCAATCACTTAACCATTTTAAAATTTTTTTTAACAAATAGATTTTTTCTAAAAAATTATTTATAAAAAATTGCATTTTTTATTTTGAAAAATTTCTACCTGTCAATTTTTTTTCTAATTTTTTTTTTGCCACAATTTATTTGTTACAAAAATTTGTAAAGTTATCAAATATCTGCTAAATTAATTTCCATAATTTAGTTTAGTTGTCACTTGACAATTTTTTGATTTTCTTTAACAAATAAATTTGTTACACAAAATGAGTTTTAAAAAATTGCATTTTTTTATTTTTAAAAATTTTTAAAATTACCAAATATATATGCTAAATTTATTTTCATATTTTTTTAAACTCACGTGTTGAAATTTTCAAGGTGACAAATTTTTTAAAATAATTATTTTTTTAGAATTAAAAAATTTGACAGAAGTTTGATTGGAAAATAAATTATAAAAAGTTATTTTATAAATTTTTAAAAATTTCTAGATGTCAAATTTTTTTTATTTATTTAATGAAAAAGTTTAGAAAAATATTCAGAGTATTGTTGATTAGCTTGAGCATGAGTAAAAAAATTTTAGAATATTTGAGATTCTTGGTAAGTATGATTTTATCAAAAGTATGTTTTGACAGATGTGTAAATTTAGTACGAACATGTAAATTTGTTCATTTGTGCAGTAATAATTCATAACAATAATTTTTAAAAATACGATTTATAAAAATTTTTTTTTATCTTAAATTATTTGTTAAAAAAATAATCAGGCGTCTTTTCAGTATAAATAAAAAAATTGGAAACGTATTTGTAATTTTTGGCAAATATGGTTTTTGTATTTTTATTAGTTAAACATTTTACGAAAAAAATTTCAAAATATTTGTTATAGTTAAGACATCGCTTATTATCTTTAATTTGATATACTTCATATCACTAGATATGATAAAAATTACTTTGATAATATTAAAGATTTTGGGATTATTAAATTTTTTATAAGAATTAAAAATTTCATTCTTTTTTTTGGTAAAGTTTCTAAAAACTCAAATTTTGGGTATTTTTATGAAAATTAAAAAAAAAATTTTTGAATTAAAGATTTTCAGATTTTTTTTAACAAACAAATTGCAATAAAAAAATTTTACACATAAAAAGTTAAAAAAACTACCAATAAATTTTACAAATATATTTAGTAATTATTTACAAATGGGGTCAACCATTTTAATTTTCTTTTTTTTTAACGAAATTTCTATTTGATTTTATTGATATATTTTTTTTTTTGATAAATACATCAAAAAAAAGAACAATTAAAAAAAAAAATTTGACTATCACAATTTTAACAAATTTTCAAAAAAATTTATAAATTTTTTAGCAAATTGTGATATTCAACTTTTTTTTTTAAATTGTTCATTTTTTATCCAAAATAGAAATTTTATCCAAAAACATGAGCCGAAATTTTTTCCAACTTTTGAAAGCAAACAAGCCATCGAAATCTTTATTTTTTATCATAAATACACTGTAAAAGCAAGCAGAATAAAAAAAAATTTGAAAATGTTAATTTTTCACCTAGTTATGGCCCAAAATGGGATTGATTCCACTTGTAAATAATTACCAAAAAAAATCTTTAAATTCAAGATTTTGCAGATTTTTTTTAACAAATAAATTCCAACAAAAAAATTCTACACCTAAAAATTTTTAAAAACTATCAATAAGTTTTACAAAAATGTTTTTTTTAATTAAAAAAATTAATTAGATTCTGCTAATTTAAGTATCATAAATTGAATCCCACAAAAAAATAAACCTAGAAAAAATTTTAAAGTTACTATAATAATATTTTTTTAGATTTTCAGTTAATTGGCTGTCCAGTCTAATGCAACAATTTTTATTTTTTCGTAATATTTTTATAACCTGTATTTCCCTCCAGGCATATACAATTTAACTACAATTCATATCTAAATTTGTCATTAAAGATAAATTTTACTGAAAAAATAATTCGGACGGCCCAGACCATCAAAACGAGGAAAGTAACAAAATTTTCATAAAATATTAAAATTTTCATAAAAATAATATAATTTTTTGTCTCGGATAGCTTAACAGGTAGAGCCTTTGGCGCGTAACCAAAAGATTCACGTTCGAGTCCTGGTCTGGGCCGTACGAATTATTTTTTCAGTCAAATTTATTTTTAATGATAAATTTAGTTATGAATTTGTGGCTAAATTGTATATGCCTTGAAGGAAATACAGGCTATAAAAATATTACGAAAAAAATAAAAATTGTTGTCCGACGAAACGTAGCACTAAAGTGTGAAATAATTGTCAACATTGCGTTTGTGGTCTGATCAACCTGATTATTATGATTATAATTAAAAATTGTTGTATAAGACTAGATAGCCATTTATATGAAAATCTTAAAAACTATTAAAAACAGGTCTTTAGGAAAAAATAAATATTGAAATAATAATAATAATAATAATGTATTTAATATATGACTCGAAGATCGGTGTTTTTAATTAATAAAGATAGATAGTTATTATTTTTAAGCCTGTTACCCGTTCCAATTCTTGAAGAATGTTCAATTTTTTATTATTATTCTTTCACCACAATATTTTTCCGTATGAGGTCTCATACCGTCAGAAAATTCTTAGGTGATAATACAACAATTAAAATTGTATTTATACAATTTTCGTTAGAAAATGTGTAAAGATGTGATTTTTTACTCAGTGTAACTTTTTTCGGTAAATGAAAAAATAATTCGGACAGCCCAGACCAAGACTGTTACGGACGGTGTCTCGGATATCTTAACTAGTAGATCATTTCGTACGTAACCAAAAGATCCAGGTTCGTGTCCTGGTCTGGGTTGTCTGAATTATTTTTTCATTTACCGAAAAAAATTACACTGAATAAAAAATTACATCTTTTTAGATAACAGGCTTAAAAATAACAACTATCTATCTTTATTAATAATAATAATTATAATGATATTTTTTTTGTTACAAAAAATGGAGCGATAATTCTAGGGATGCTTGTTTTTTAGGAAAATAGTGGGGGTGGATATTATAATTCTTATTTTATAATAATTTTCATGAAATAATATGAATTTTTCATAACTTAAAAATTTTTTCCGATTACCCATAAATGAAATCAATAAAAAAAAATAAAATAATTATTTCAGACACTTGCGAGACTCCCACTGTTCAAAAGAAGGCGGCTCGTTCGTCTGCCACTATGGCTACAACTCAGTGTGTTCGAGCCTGCCACTGGAGGGAGTATCGGACAGCGATTACATAGCCCACGCAGGAAAGCACGCGGTGATGCAGCAGAGTGCCCTGAAGAACGGAGTATCACCATCGGGAAACTACGCGCAGACAACGGGGATGTCAAAGCCGACGTGGACGGTGTATTCCGCGGCAGCTAACCTCCCGGCAGTCTTGAACGACCCAAAAAAAGGAAAGCAGGGGAACTTCCTGACCAAGACCTGGGGCGACGGATTCACAGAACACGTCAACATCCCCAAGAGCCAGTACCTTCCTCCAGATGTCACTATCAACTACTTCGACGGGTACTTGAAAAAAATCGGCAGGAGGTACCGGCGACACTCCACCAGGTCCCAGACCTCGATAAACTCGAGCTCGTCGACCTCGTGCCAGGAGAGGGAGGAGTTTGACTTCTCGAGCATTCCCAGTATTTTTAGGAACCCCAATTTGGATCTGTCTAGTCGCGACACCTTTGAGAATGTCTTTCCCTTCACTAAAGACGGCTTGCTGGCGAAGACCGAAGTTTCTACCAATGATGTCATGCTTCAGGTCAGGTGCTATCAAGAGAAGTTCAGCCACTACCTGGACATCGTTGAAGTGAGGATCGCTGAGCAGGTCGCCAGCAAGTCTCAGGCTTTCTTCCAGGCGATGACCTCCCATGATGTCTTGATGGAGCAGCTCACGCAGACTATTAATATCTGCAAGGCTTTGAGGAGGAATATCAAAGATATTAATAAGAATTTTGTTGTTGATTCTTTGAATCTTTTGAGGTTGGTATATTATCTACACTATTAAATGGAGAGCCGGTTTTTTTTTTTTTTTTTTTTGGTTATACTGCGAAAACTACTGAACCGATCGGAATAATACTTATACCATAAGATGCAGCGTGTTTCGGAGGTTTTAATATATCGCGTTACTAAAACCACAAGGGCGTATCTCAAAATAAACGCCCATATGGTTTTGCAGAACCAAAAAGGTGAATAAAAATATTTTTTTGCTCCAATCAATGTAAAAATGTTGAAAATATTCATATCTTTGAAAAAAAACGAAAAAAAAAAGTAAGTTTGTTGGTTTTAACAAAAAATGTTTCTAAAGTCTTAAGGGAGTATCCAGTTTTTTCGGTTTATTATCAATTATAAGTCAGAGTAAGAAAAAAAATTGTAAAGGCAATATAAATTATCACTCCACAACTTAATTTATATTAACAAATAATTATTTAAGTGAAAAAACGAATGAAAAATTAAGAAAAAATAAATTCATCAGGGTATTAGTCCTATGCCATTTCCGTCATTAAGATCATCTGTGCTTAAGATTATAAAGAAAGAAAAGATTTTTTAATTTTTTTTTTTTTTAACATAACTTGATAATAATAAAAAAATTTATAAACTATTACCATCGCTGAAAATTAAACTTTAATAATACCGATGATATTTTTGTGGGACGTTGCCACAAAAATGATGTACAAAAATGATTTAGGTCATCAAATTTGCTTCAAGATATTGGTATTAAAGAATTGTAACAATACTTTTCCCCAAAATTTAAACAAAATTTTCACCGGAGGCGGAGATACCGGCTGGGTAGAGTATTTACACTCGCCCTTTTTAAATATGAAATAAAATAATAAAAGTAACCCGGAAACTCCTCAGGCTGGGTTAGTGCACGATAGGACGCCAGGTAATTTTATTTAAAAATTACCAAAATAATCAAAATTCCAGGGGCCGCCCCGGACGATCAATTAACGATTTAAATTATACGAATGAGAAACTAAACCACAAAGTAATTAAATCAAGATTAAGACAGAATTTACAATTAGAAATAATAAATAATTAATTGTAAAATAGTATTTTATAGTACCAGTTGAAATTGGAAGATGAGTTGCGGGAGAAGAATTTAGGCATTAACTTACATAAAATAATTCGTTAAATCAGCAAATAAAAAAATAAATAAATTATTTACAATATTGCGTTCGAGAATAACAATAGCCGCAATGAAAAATGATAATCTTAACAATAATCAGAATATAAGTTGCGTTCAAAAATAATACTCGCAATAATAATTAATGATGACGTAATATTTTAATTGAGCGATTACTGGCCAATTCAGGGACCCACACGCGGCTTTCGGGACAGGTATATATTCTATCGTGATACCCCTTACTCGCTACGGAATCAACCCGATAAATCGATAATGATTTTAATAATAATAAATAAATGAATTACTCAAGCCAGGAGACAGCGGTGTACGGACAATGAAATGGCTCAACTTGTGAGTACTCACCAGAAAAAGGAAACTCGAGCAAAGGTGCCAGATCCACACTCTTACACTCTGCAGGCTACCGCGTGTCTTCCACACACCAAGCGGGCTCCCGCGTGTCTATTCAATCTACGTCACCGTAAAACGTTCGAGGCCTCGTGTTCGACCACGAGGGCCTCTTTAGCCATTTTCCCAAATTTAATAAACCTTTAGCTCGCGATCGATAATACAGGACTTCACCCGTGTGTGAGTAAAGGCTATGATAATAAAACCAGGTACTATAACTATGATTTACGGCGATACATACAAATAATAATAATGATAATAATGAATTACAAATAATTCATTGTAAATATCTGAAACAAATGTAAAATTAATTCTTAAATTATAAACAATAATATTAAAAATTTCAAGTATAAATAATAATACTAATAATAGTAATAATAAATTATAAATACATTAATAAATAAATACAAAATAGTAAATTGAGAGACACATCGAGTGTGGATCTGTTGCCAAATTTTAAGCGCAGGGAGGGACGCACCCAGGGAATAAAAACCCTGTGACAGAATCATAAAAATTCTCAAGAACAAAGTTCTTTTTGAATGACTTGTTTAATTAAAATTACAGTTCTAAATGGCTTACAAAACTCTTTTTTTAAATGTAAATACATCTGAAGTAAAAAAAAAATCAATTTAGTAAAACTTTGAGGCTAAATTTATTAACTTGAAGACATACCGCTTGTTCTCACGTTGTTATTAGTATATTACACACCTAGGGAAGTAAAGTAAGAAATGTCTCAGATCACATGTAATTGTTCTTGTGATCTGAGGCTTTCTTATTTACTTCCCGTGGAGTGTATACTATTTTTTTGCTCGACGAAGGCAGAAAGGGGCAACTTCGTTTAGCGTAGCGGGCCGAAAGTTGACGCTTTCTGCCCGTCGAGCAAAAAAAATTTTTTTATTCTATTAATTATATAGATCTTGGAAAAAATTAAATAAAAAAATTTCGTAATAACACTAAAATTAGTTTGAAAATTTTTTCATTTTTTTTGAAAAATAAGCTAGGCCTAAAAAATTATATTTATAATTTTTTAAAACTTGTAAATATAAAAATTTTTTTAAAATAAATTTTTGTTGCTATAATTTATTTGATAAAAAATTATAAATGAATTTTTTCAAATAAAAAAAAACAGCAGTAGGGTAAATGCACCAATTATTGACCGATTAAGGTTTTCTTTTTCTGTACTAAGCTATAAAAAATCTATTAACCTACTAAAAACAATTTCTAATGGATTTTATTAAAGTTAAATACTTAATTAATAATAATTAATAACTATTTATAATAAAAATTAACAAAATTATATTAATTTTGTTATTTGAATCTTGAAATACTAAAATCACCAATTATTGACCGAAGAAACCCAATAAATGACCGACCGTTCTCCAATTAATTGACCACTCAAATAATTATAAGTAATTTTGTAAACTACATGTATGTAATTAAATATATGCAGTACTTTTAAAGTATTAACGACATCTTTAACAAAACTAAACATACAATATAATTTTAAACCGTACTTTTTTATAAAATAATATAAATAATAGCAATAATTAACAAAAAGTCACATTTCTTTAGGTCACAAATTCATTTTGATGACGATAATTCTTCTGATTAACTTAAAATTTTTTTATTCTTCTCCTT